GCCCGGGGCTCTGCCGCTGCCAAGCCGCATCGTGGACTGGAGGCCGCCAGGCCCCCGGAACCTGCCGCGGAGCCCGCTCCGAAGCCAGCGGAGCCCACAGATGTGTCCGCGCCGGAATTCGGGGGAGCGGAACCCCAGGAAAAGGCTCCTACGAGCAGGTAAGCCCTGCTGACGAAATATGAAGCCAAGCAAGTGCACACTACCATAGGCGAACTCCCTCGTTTGCAGTAAGCCTTTCATTTGAGCCAGATGAGCCCACACTGCATTTGACCCTTTGATGCACAGAGTCTATAGGTCGAGAGGATTGCCTGACTTGGCGGAGGTGGGAATCTAAGGATGACACCCTCTCACAGCGTGTTTTCATTGTTCTAGAGTACTTTATTGAAGGTAGTTTTTAATTGAAGAAATACCTTTTTTTTTTCGTTACCAGGGATCGAACTCTGACCCTTGGGCTTGCGAGGCAGGTTTAGGTGCCACTGAGCTAAGTCTCCGGTCCAAGAAATACATTTTTTTTTTTTTTTTAAAAGAACAACAGCAATAGTGTCCATTTTCGTTGCGGGGGCTCGAACCCAGGACGTCTAGCGTGCCAGGCAAATGCCTTGCCACTACGCTACAGCGCCGCTCCTGGTTTAATAGTAATGGCGAGGAAGTGTGGTTGCTGCATTTGGCGTGAGGGTGGTGGTCACAGTGACCACGTTTCCCCAGCCACAAGCGTGGTTTGCGCGTAATGTACTGCGTTTGCCTTCGGGACTCTTCTAGTTAACCTAAGTAGGCTTTTTCGCGGCAGAATTTATTATCGTGTTAAATGAGCGTAGTATTAATCTTTGGGACGTTAAGTGGAGGTTAGAGATGACTCGTATGAGCTGTCTTCCCCAGGACAGGGCAGAATAGTTGTCCTCCAAAAGTTACTAGTTTTTAAAATAAATGACTGTGCAAATTAATTAAACATAAGACAAAGTAGGGAGGAATATGTATATGGGAGGAAACCAGGAAACAACCAGCTGTTAAGTGACACTGAGATGGTACAAATTCTGTTTATATTGTGACAGAAAGGTGAAAATTTTCTTTTTTTTTTTTTTAGGGTCAGAACTTCCTATATTGACCTAAACTGATACTCTTGGTATAGGGCATTTTGATAGCTGAGTGATGCTTAGTTATTTCCAAGGTTTTCACATGAATCTGCTTCAAAATTTCACAATGGAGATACAATGGCAAACTAATAAAGTTCTAGATGATTTTGTTAATTGTGAATGTGTGTTTGATAACTTAATAAACTGCCCAGAGAATGTAGTCTTTTTTTTTTTTTTTTTTTTTTTTTTTTTAAGGTTCGGGGGAGTGGTTTGAGACAGGTTCCTGCTATGTTGTTCAGTCTGGCCTTGAGCTTACTATGTAGCCCAGGCTGACCTCATATAGCCTGTTGAAGCCTCCCAAGTGCTGGGATTACAGGCCTGTGCTACAACATCTGGTTGAGAATGTAATCTTGAGACATTTATTCTCAAAAGTATGTGTTTTATGGGCTGAGGATTTAGCTCAGTGGTTCCGCTGCCTGCCTCGAAAGTGCAAGGACCAGTGTTCCATCCATGGTATCCCCCCAAAAAAAAGTTGCTTTCTTAGAGTTGATTATCTAGGGAGCACATTTTGTTTTTAATCAAGTCTTTCCCCCTTTTTGTGAATCTTGCTAGTTGTAAAAAATCAGTAGGTTATCTGTTTTGTCCTTAGATATTCAGCATAATTGGGCAAAGTGGAAATGATGAGTGTATTGTTAAAAGGACTGTTTCTTTGTTTGTTTGTTTTTGTTTTTTGTTTTTTGGCCAGTGCTGGGGATTGAATTGAAGGGCCTCATGCATGCTAGGCCAACACTCTACAGCTGAGCTACATTCCCAGCCCTGAGACAGGAATTTAAATTGGAGACTTTCTGCCAAGGTTATTCTTGGCATTTTTCACTTTTATATAAAACTAATTGTAAAATATGCAGAATCTTTTAATTTTTTGTTTTATTTTTTGAGACAGGGTTTTGTTATGTAGTTCAGGCTGACCTTGAATTTATTATATAGCCCAGGCTAGCCTTGAATTAGCAGTGATCCTCCTGCCTCAGCCTCCCAAGTGCTGGGATTGCAGGTGTGTGCTACTGTACCCAGGAGAAAAGCAGACTTTTAAATTCTTGACCTATATCCCTTTTTTTTGTGAGTGTGGGGCTTTAGAGATAGGGTTCCACTTTGTAGTTTAGGCTATCCTTGAGCTTACTATGTAGCCCAGGCTGGCCTCAAACTCACAGTGATCCACGTGTCTCAGCCTCCTGTCTCATCCTCTCAGTGCTGGGGTTACAGGCCTGCATCACCACTCTGGGCTATTATCCTTTTTTATCCTTCCTATATTAAAACAGTTTTCATTGATACATAGTAATTATACGTACTTGTGGGGTACATTGTACTATTTCAATATATACAATGTATAATCAAATCAGAGTAATTGGTGTACTGATCACCTCAAAAGTTTATCATTCCAAATCTTCTGTGCTTGCTCTTTTGAAATATAAAATAAGTTTTGGCCGTTAATTTAGGTCGGGGAATTAGCTCAGTGGTTCCACCGCCTGCCTCTCAAGCTCAAGGACCTGAGTTCAATCCCTGGTACCAAAAAAATGCCCCCCCAAAACAGAATAAGTTGTGGCCAATCATAGTTATCCTTCAGTGCTATAGTACATTGGAAATTGTTGCCCTCCTGCCTCAGCCTCAGTTGTAGGATTATTGGTGAGTGCCAATATTCCTGACTCCCTTGGTTGTCTAGTGATTAAAATTAGGCTATCTAGGCTTCTTTTTATAACTTAGTCTTTTGTTTGTTTGGGCTAAGCATACTATAGCTTCTTTTTCTTATCCCTTTTCCTTATCCCCCAAATTCCCTTATCCCATTTTTCATTCTTGTTGATAATATTTGTCATAGCTCATGTCATGGCATATAATATTTACATTAATGAGGTTATTAGGTTCCTGTACATGTCATATCTTTATTCTAATTATTTCTCTTTCCTTCCTGCTTACCCTTCAGCCTTGTTCCCCTGAACCACTTCTCTATTGCAAGAGATTCATCCCCTTGTCCTCTTCTATCCAGCCTTTATTATTCTCTTTGTACTTTGCATCACTCAAACGAGATATACTGTAGTGATATTTAAACTTGTGTGTATAGTTTATTTCACTGAACATTAGATTTTCCAGGTGCATTCATTTGTGTACAAATGTCTCATATTTGTCATTTTTTTTTTAAAGACAAAGTCTCTGTGTAGTTCAGGATGGCCTTGGACTCACTATGTAGCTCAGGCTAGCCTTGAACTTGGCCGATCTTCCTGCCTCAGCCTCCTGAGTCCTGGGATTACAGGCATGTGCCATCATGCCTGGCTCATTTGTTATTCTTTATAGCTAGTGGTATTCTATTGTATAGATATCACATTTTATCTATTTGTCTGCTGATGGGCATATTGGCTGCTATGATTTAGCTCTAATGAATTGTGGTGGTATGCATGTATCACTGTAGTATATTGTCTTTAGCTCTCTGGGGAAGAGAGCAGGGGATTGCTGCGTCATATGGAATTTTTAATTTTAGTTCTTTGAGAAATCTTCATACTGACTTTCATGATAGTTGTACTAGTTTACATTCCCACCAACAATGAAGAATTGTTCATTTTTCGCTATAGCCTTTGCAGCATTTGTTACTGTTTGATTTCTTAATGATTGACTTTTTCTGGAGTAAGGTGGAATTTTAGTGTTTTAATTTGTATTTCTTTAATGGTCAGAGATGTTGAACATTTTTTCCATATATATGTGGCTCATTTATGTCGTTTGTGCTATCTTGCTTTTTCATTGCCCCTAATCAATCTTATGTTTTTCTTTTTTGCATCAGCTAGTAGCTGCTGGATTGATATCTTGTGATCCCTTCCTATTTTTAAGAAATCTTTCTTTTCCTAATTTGTTGACCATTTATATTTCTTTTTCTTTTTTCTTTCTTTTTTTGTACTGGGGATTGAACTCAGGACTTTGTCCTTTCGAGGCGGGTGTGGTGCCACTGTGCAAGTTCCTCTGCCAAGTGTCTGTTCATTTCTCTTGCCCATTTCTTGAGTGGGTCTTTAAATGTAGGTTGTTACTTTTTTTTAGTTCTTTGTATATTCTAGATTATTAGTCCTCTGGCCGAGGAGTAGCTGGCAAAAATTTTTTTCCCATTCTGTAGGTTGTCATCACTCTGCTAATTGATATGATTGATGGATTGATTGGAATTTTTTTTTTTTTTTTTTTTTTTAC